TTTTTTTTTTTTTTTTTTTTTTTTTTTTTTTTTTTGGTTTTTCGAGACAGGGTTTCTCTGTGTAGCTTTCCAGGGTTTCTCTGTGTAGCTTTGCGCCTTTTCTGCAGCTTACTTGGTAGCCCAGGCTGGCCTCGAACTCACAGACATCCACCTGGCTCTGCCTCCCGAGTGCTGGGATTAAAGGCGTGCGCCACCACCGCCCAGCTTGTTTTTTGTTTTTTGAGACAGGGTTTCTTTGTGTATCCCTGTCTGACCTAGAACTTGCTCTGTAGACCAGGCTGGCCTCAAACTCACAGAGATCCACCTGCCTCTGCCTCCCGAGTGCTGGGATTAAAGGTGTGTGCCACCACTGCCTGACTCCAGCCTCCCTCTTATAGGCAATGTTTCAATTCAAAAGAAATCATTAGCAATGTTTCTGGCTCTTACATTTTTTTAAATGTTTTTGAACCTTGGTGGGGTGGTATAAACAGGGCTCTATAATAAAGCATTGCACTCCTGTGCCACAGCAACCCTCACTTAGCAGCTTCACCAGTGGCTGTGGACTCTTCAGCACTAAAGTCTTGCCATCTAGTTCTGGCATGGAACCAGGAGCAGTGACAATAACCTTTATGGTTTGTGGTACCTCAGGGGCCTCCTTGGCCAACAAATTACAGCAAATTACAAATCCTGGCACTTGGGTCTTTATTTAGCAACCACTGGGAGTGCCCTCCCCATGCAGAATGCCTTAAACACTTTAGCCATTACTTTAATAACCCATTAAAAACAAAACTCCAGGTGCAGTGGGCTTATAAGTCAGGTGAAGTATGATTGGAGCTGGCTGCTGTTATGCGGGCTCTGTGCATCAGTATTAATGACTACTTTTGTCCCTCACCCTTCTGCTGGCACCTATATATAACACGGAGTTGGGTGAGACCCCTTATGCATGGAAGTGCTTATAAAAGGCCTGTGGCAGTTTCCACACAAGTGAGAACATATTTACATCCCTCGCTGATAAGCCCCTCATTGGGCAAGATGATTTCTATGTATCCCATCATAGCATCTATCAAGGCCATGATAAAGAACAGGCCTAACATGGTGGTACCTTTTGCCTTGTGGCCAGGATATAAAAAATATCTGACTGTCTCCTGCCTGCATATGTTTGCTTCTTGCTGCTGAAGTGTGCCTATTGATTGTTGTGGGTGTAGCTGCTGCCACAGTCCTCCAGAGAAATCCTTTGGCCTTCCAACATGAAAAGAACAGCAGCAACTCTAAGGATTTTCCAGGCCTTGACAGCCAAAATGAGACAGCTCAGGCATCCAGCTCCATAGCCTAAAAAGCTACTGGGCTGCCCATCATGCACATGGCTGTCATTGGGCTGCCCAGTCCCACTATGTAAACTCTACTACTGAATCCCCTTTCATTGCACACATACAGTCTATTAGTTCTCTACAGGGTCCTTTGTGAAATCATTTGTGGTGAGGAAGGACTGTAGAGAGACAGAATTGATGGCTGGTGATGTTCTTTTGGCACAATTCTGAGCATGCACAAACACCTGGGTGGGGTCCTGTGGACCACATATACTAGGCAGAAATAAATGCATTTAGGGAAAAACAATTTTTAAGTGCTTGTTACAAGAGGACTTAAGTCTCAAACTGGTTTAGTTTTGTTGAGAAGTAATAGTCTCCAGGACTGTTCAGTATGTTTTTCCTGAGTTTTATGTATGGCTTGCTGTCATCACTGTAACATCAGTATTCTGTTACAATTGACATGTTTTCTAGTTTTTATATTTATTTTGAGGCAGAGTCTCACTTGGTAACCCAGGCTAGCCTCAAACTCAGATCTGCCTGCCTCTGCTTCCCAAGTGCTAGGATTAAAGGTGTGTGCCAGGCTGTTTTCTAATTTTTTTAATTAAAAAGAAAAAGTAAAAACATAAATAAGTCATCAAGTAAGAATACCAAAATAGCCAATTGTAGATACAATTTGGGGCAGGGGGAGGTAAAGGATATTGAAGAGAAAATGCTTTTAGATAAAAAGAGGTAGAGCCTACATGGTAGAAATTCATGAGTAGAATGCCGAGGAATTTCCTAAATCAGAGTGACCTGTGTTCATGTCAATTGTTAATTGATGTAGGAAGGCCCATTCCACTGTGGGCAGCATCACTCCCTAAGTATATGTTCCTGAATGCTAGTCCAGCATTAGCCTGCCTTCCTGCCAGCCAGCAACATCCTCTGTGGTTCTTGCTGCCCTTCATGGGCTGTGAAGTGAGTTCTTCGGCCAGAGGTAATGCTGTGTAGAATAGCAAAACTTGAAGGCCTGCCTTCAAATTCCTGCCTTGAATCCCCTCGATGATGGACTGTTACATGAACTGTAACCCAAATAAACCATCCCTACACACACACACACACACACACACACACACACACACACACACACACACACTTACTCACAGAGTTTCTTTTAAGATGTTTTATCACAGCAACAGTTTTGAAAACTACCTTTCCCTGTGTGGTATGGGATGATTTTGCTCTTTGTGGTTTCTGGCTTCATGAGATGGATGATAGGATGTGTAACCAAGACAAAGCTTTGAGTGTCACTGGGAGGAGTACTGGGGTGGCCATCTTCTACTTGGTATTTGGTGGCATGCCTTCCTATAGGTATGGGCTTCCCCTCAACATAGATTAAAGAATGTATTGCAGCAGGCCATGGTGATGCATACCTTAATCCCAGCACTTGGGAGGCAGAGTTCTGAGAGGTCAAAGTCAGCCAGGTTTACATAGTGAGTTCCATGCAAGCCAAGGCCTGTCTCTAAAGAGAAAAAAATAAAAAAATTATTTCAGTCTCTGAGCATATTTTTTATGAGGTACAATATTAAGTAGAATGTAGTATCAGTTGGATGGTGCTCTGCCTACTTTTACGTCAACTTGACACAAGCTACAATCATTTGGGAAGAGGGACCCTCAGTTGAAAAAAAAATGTCCCCATAACATAAGGCAAACTTATGTAGCATTTTCTTAATTAGCAATTGATGTGGGAGGGTCACCCCTGGCTGGTGGTCCTGAATGCTATAAGAAAGCAGAATGAGCAAGCCATGGGGAACAAGCCAGTAAGCAGCACTCCTCCATGGCTTCTGCATCAGCTCCTTCCTCCAGGTTCCTGCCTGGCTTCCTGACTTCCTTCCCTGATGGATTGTGATAAAACCCTTCTTCAGTTTTGTTTTTTCCTTTAAATTTAGCAAGATGCAAAGAAAAGGGCACAAATTAGATCTGTGCTATACAGCTCATCCTGGGATCCAAAAAAGGGATGCCATGGGGAGAGAGGCTGAGGAGGGAGGCAACAAGGTAAAGGTGGAGAAGGTACACCTTAGGCCTGACCCTTGAGACTGTCCATGAGTCCTCATGCAGATGGGGACACTTAAAAATGGCTGAGTACAAGAGACCATGATAGAGGGTGTTCTGTCAAGTGTTGAATTATTAAAGATGTTTATCACTTTTATTGTATGAGTGTTTTGTCTGCATGATTGTATGTATACAACATGCATGCCTGGTACCCATGGAAGCTAGAAGAGGGTCTCAGATTCCCTGGAACTGGAGTTAAAGATGATTGTAAACTACTATGTGGGGCATGGAAACTGAACTCTGGCTTGTACAGAAGAGCAGCAAGTGCTTGCTCTTAACCACTGGTAAAGACTTTTAAACAGTGAAGGAATTGGTCACATGGATCCCTGAAACTGAAATATGGGGACAGATAAAATCCATCTGAGTGCTGGGAGGTAAAGACACTACATGTCAACTGGAGGAAATATAAGAGAAATCTGCCCCCGTTGGGCCGGCATTGGAGTCACTAGGGACAGCTGAGGTCCCAATGAATATTAGGAACTTGAAGATAACAAAAGATGGTGCCAGGCAGTAGTGGTGCGCGCCTTTAATCCCAGCACTGCACTCAGGAGGCAGAGGCAGGCGGGTCTCTGTGAGTTCAAGGCCAGCCTAGTCTACAGAGTGAGTTCCAGGACAGGGTCACTCTAGGATGAATTTCAGCCTTCGCACCCACAGAGGAGTCAGCCTCTGGGGACTGCCTGACTGTAGCTTTGCAATCGGCTTTTTCATTGTTATACAGTTTACACCTTTAGCAAGTCAATTTTTGCATACCAGAACCTCTTATCTGAATCTCCCCAAAGAGAAAAATACCAAAGCAATTCCCAGTCACAGAACATCATAGTTTTCTGAGTCCTCCCAGGACCAAGTTTTACATAGGCTTTGAACCTTTAGGATACTCTCAGATAAGATTTACATACTTCAGGGGGCTGGAGAGATGGCTCAGAGGTTAAGAGTACCAACTGCTCTTCCAGAGGTCCTGAGTTCAATTCCCAGCACCCACATGGTGGCTCACAACCATCTGTAATGAGATCTGGTGCCCTCTTCTGTATACATAATAAATAAATAAATCTTTTTTAAAAAAAGTGTGTGAAAGTGCTGGTCCCTGAACCTGGCTCCAGCTTCTCTCCCTTTAAAAAAAAAAAATTACATACTTCAAATGGAAGTACTGGACACAAAAGGCAGATCAAAGTCAGGTGCTAACACTCCAGAATCAAACCAGCTGCAGAGCTCTGCAAGGGGGGAACAAGTCTGATCCACTATGTGAGTTTCAAGAAGAGTAATAAGATTAGAAAGTAATAGAGTTTATATAAATAATTTATGCTGAGTAATTTATTAATTATGTGATCTCTAACAAAATCTTCCCTCATGCATTGAAAATTTAAGCATTGTGAGGAGGAATTTCTAAGCAGGCGCTTGCATGCTAGTGTTAACACTGTTCCAGACGTCAGGTGGGAGGACTCTGAGACAGGAAGTAGTAAAGCACCTTAGAAAGAGGATCAGGACAGAGCAGCAGCACATCCCGTGCCCTGGGCCCACAACAAGAGGAGCTG